TATTTTTTTTTAATAAAAATAATATTTTGGATTTAGTTAATTTTTTTCATTGTATATATCAAGAATTCGCTCGAAACGCATTCGTCAAAGACAAGAACCATGCTTAATGTTCTCTCATTAACATCCCGAGGAACATTAGTGCGCACCGGCGCATTAAATCTTGCTGCCCAATTATTTCCACGCTCTGTACTGTCTTCCCACCATCTCTTAAATTTGATCGCATCGCCATATATTCTTGTACTCTCTCTCCTTGTGTTTTACACTTTCTCCCCTTCTCCCCTTCTCTCTCTCTCTCTCTCTCTCTCTCTTTTTTCTCATTACTTTTTCCGTCCAATCTAACTCGTCGTTCTCGGTGTGTCCAACATCTTTTCCCCCTTTTTTTCCTTCTCATTGCTCGCAACGACGTACTCTTTCATTAAATGCGTTACTGTCCTCCTATCACTCCCACAAACTTTACAGACTTTCTTCCACTCCCTGACGTCAGTTTCTCTCCACTCTCTTTTATATACCATCCCTTTAACTTATTACCGCACCTAAATCTTGCCGTCGACCCGACGACAAAACTCCCTTTTGCTTGCTAAATATCTTTGTCGATATAGCTTTTATGTCCCCTTTTGCGGTTTTTTTTTGTTTACTGTATATACTATAGCGTTTTAATTAACTGCGAGAACGCGTTCAGAGGGAATTTGTTAGTTTTTCCAGCGTACGTTCTCACAGTTAACTACGCATTTTCTCAAAAGAATATATTTCTCGTCAAGCGGTACAAATAAATTACAAATAAGTAGAAACAGGCTCTCATTGCGCGACTCGAAATTTCGGAATTAACGATCGGAATTAAAACAATCAGATGTGAAATGACATAGAGCGGGAGAAATCCAAGCGTTTTATTTTCACATACTATGTGTGTAGCTGGCGCGGGGAAACTAAAAGCGGTTCGATATCCCGATGGCTCCAACGACAGCGAAATTTTTGCAGGAGACAATCCGCTGGCAGCTCGTCTATCGCGACCAAAAGCGTTCTCATAACGCCGATCAGTCAGAACGGACAAGATCGTTCTGACATTTACTGCGACATTTGCTACGCCGGATGGTAGACATCAATTACGTCTAATAGATATTCATATCGACAAGAGGCGGATCGATGGACGTCCAATGATTTTCCACCGGGACGACGTATTTAAAGTATCCGTGCGATCCAAAATAAATATTTACAGTTGCGAAATCGAGTTACGTGTAAAGACACTGTTGAAAAATTTGTGTATTTTTGTTAAAAAATATAACGGTTAAAATTTTTGTGTTAAATATTTAACACATTTATGCGATATATATTAAATTTAAAAAGCCAAATTTTCCTACGATACATATACAAATTACATGCGAATCTTACAGATTCTCGAGATTCTCTTTTGCTCCCAACGCATCATTTTACGCCGGTATACATACAGTCTCCTCTCACACGAGAGGGAAAAGCCTCGGAAGAGGGACCCCGTATAATCCGCGAATTGAAACATCCGCGCGGATCAGACGCAGGTAAAGAGAGAGAGAGAGAGAGAGAAAGAGTCGCTTTGGCGGGAATTGCGGATCCGCAATTTACCGGCCCTTTTTTCGTGCCGGCAGTCCCCGGGCGGGATGGATGGATAACGAGAAAACTTTTTCGCTCAGAACGCCTCGTGGCCTTTACATTACGTCGTAACGTGCCGCACAACTCACTCGCTTGTCGTTTTTTGTTCGCGCTCGCGCTCGGTCCATTTCGCGCGATCGAGAGCAATACGTTTCGCCGGAGGAAAAACATTGCTCTGTCAAACGCGCGCCGCGACTACAACGAGACGACCGCCTCTCTCGTTCTTCGTTCCTCCTCCGCGCCCACGTCGCGCCCGAGATGCACGTTCATTTATTATCGCACACGGAATATATTAACAAGGATATATGGACCGTTTGGAGTATACATTATTAATTCTCCCCTTTCTCCCCTCCTCTTTCTCCTTACAAAACAGAGTTTATTGAATATTGAATTTTGTATACCTAATTGCATGCCAAATTTATGGAGATATCTGAGATATCTAA